CAGGTTAGCAGGTGGCAGAAGTGGGGGGCACGTTCAAGAGAAGGTTCCAGAAGACCACCCAGAGCCGCCCATCAAGCCCCCAGCCTCCAGGGCCTTACATTCCTCTGTCAGGCTCAGGTTCTGCAGAGACTTGTTCAGGTTTCTAGCTGTGGTGACGGCGCGGATGTTTCCGTAGGAGCTCACGGAGCGCAGCCTGGGGGTGCAGGGGCTGTCCCGCACCGGGGTCAGACTCCCACCCTCTGGCAGGAGAGAAGGGAGAGGAGGGTTAATGGGGGCTCAGGAGGGAGGTGGCCGTGACAGCAGGGGACAGTGGCTTTCCCAGGGACGACATGATGCTTCAGTAGGGCCTCCCAGCGGGCAGGTCTCTGACACGGGTGTGGGGGTCAGCTGGACAGAGTTGGACCAGGTGAGGCCCAGGCGAGGGGAGCGTGGCGGGGCTGGGACCCTGCTTATTGCTCTAAGGGGTCAGCTGCAGCTGCTCACACGCACCGGGGCCCCTGAAGTGCCAGGACCGCTGCCCGGGAGCAGAGCAGAGGACCCTCCCCGGCCTCTAGCCCCCGGCACGCCGGCCGCTTCCCTTCCCTGATGGACTGAACGCAGCAGGGGGAGAGACAGCCCAAGATGACGGGACATAAATCTGGTAAAAAGGGTAAGCATGAGAAAACGAGCTGCCTGACGTGGCTTGCCAAAACGTGAGACAGACACCGACGTGAGGACTCTCACGGAAGATAGAACGTGCTCTTTTGTGACCCCAGAAGGAAAAGAGTCAGAGGGTCAGAGCGAACCCCTTCCCTGCCCCTTCTGCTCTGCCAGGAAGACGGGCCTCGCAGGAATCCGAGCAGCCTGGACTTAACGTGTGAGCTCGGGGCGCGGCAGAACCGAGGGGCCTACTGACAGCCCTGAGCAGGCGCCCCGGCCGGGCGGAGCCGTGCAGACGTGTGCCCGCAGGGGCTGCATCTGTGGGGGCCGTACCTGCGGCGGCTGGAGAGGGCAGCGGGTAGTTCTTCTCCTCCTCCATGAACTGCAGGGCCACCGTGCAGAAGTTGCTCTCGTACTGAACCACAAGATGACTCAGCGCCACCACTAGCTCCTGCCGGAGAAGGGACAGCAGCACTGACGGGATGGCAGAGATGCGCACCCGGGCGCCGAGCGCTCGAGCCAGCACGGAAGAGGAGGGGGAGACAGAGCTGCGCTCGGACCACAACAGGGCTGCCCGCTCAGCGAGGCCCTGCAGCGCCCGTGTGGGCAGAAGGGCTGAACAGCCACGTGGTCAAGGCCCCCCTCGGAGGGACGCTCTGGACACCGGCAGAGGCACTGCTGACCGCGAGGGGTGAGCGGCACGACTGAGGGCCTTGTAGGGACGCAGGACAAAGGCCAGGGAAGAGCCCTCCGGCTTCCTACGGTCAACACTATGGCCGGGCTGACGACGGTCCTGACCAGACCGACAGCTGGGAGAGCGTGTGCTCCCTGGGCATCACGGCGGGCCTGTGCACATGAAGCCACCCTGACTAAATGCAGGACTCCCTCAGGGACAACAGCCCCTAAAACGCAGTGAGGAGGCTCCACACGCCCCCAGGCCCAGCTGCCTCCTCGAGGAGATGAATTTCGCTCACTGCTTGGGTACAGCCGGTGCCATGTGTGCCCAGAGGCCTGCAGGCTCCAGGAAGTGACCTGGCCGCAGCTCACCCCGCCTCTCCCATCACTAGTCAGGTGGTTTCCAGAACTGTCTTACTGCGCTGTTTAGAAAAGCGCTTAGCACAAGGCTGAGGCCTGAGAGCCCCTTCCTGCTGCGCAGACCCCCGCCCCCCAGGCCCCAAGTTCTCGGCGGCAGCCAGCCCGATGGGCGTGGGACGGGGCCCGGGTCCTAACGTCAGCACCCCTCCTCTTCTGCGAGGTCCCTCCCACCTCAGCCTCACGCACTCCTTGACCACCCCCCACCCCGGCATGTGTGTCCTTACTCCAAACCCACCCCTCGAGGGCCCGCCTCCCGTAGCATTCCAGGATGGCCACGCGCTCCCCAGAGCCCACACGACTTGCCCAGGACCTGCTGGCCCCGCCCCTTTCCGCTCGCCCCATAGGCACCCTCGTCTGTACCAGGAGCAGAAATTGCTGGTGGCTCCAGCTGGGCCTTAAGCTGCCCTGTCCCACTGCTCCCCAGCGGTTCTGCCCTCACCTGGCAGGTCCGAGCCTAACGACCCTGAGCAGCGGGATGTTGAGAGGCCCCGTGGGCCCCTCCTGGAGAAGGCGAAGCCTGTACCGTCTTCGAAAAGCGCTTGGTCTCTCCACCCTCTGGAGTGGACCTGAGGCAGATTAACTGGTTCCAGGGACTCAGATCCTTTGATTCGGGTGAAGTGGAGATGGGGGGAGGCTGAGGGCAAGGCCCACACGGAGCAGCCATGGGTCAAGTCTTTCCTGCTGGGCGGCAGCCTTGGGCTCTGGCCATCAGAGGTCTTCAGAGGCCTGCAGTCGGGTCTGGCCAGGGTGCAAGCTGGGCGCCAGGCTCGCGTTAACCTTAGACCTTGGAAGCAGACTGACTTGGTGCTGGCACCATCAGACGTGAGACCCTTTCCTGGCAGAGCCGGTCCCGCCTCCTCCACGCTCCAGACCTCCGGCTCACACTCAGAACACGCAGGCCTAGCCCGCACAACCCGAGAAGCCAGGACTCCTGCTCTGGGCCTAGGCACCCGCTGTCCCCTCAGCCTGGAAAGGCTCAGCCCCGCCTGGTTCAGGCCTCGCTCAGGTGCCTCCCCAAGCACCTACATCACCCAGGCTCCCCCAACTCTACCATCCCCGACCCTCCTTCGGAGCAGTCGCCACCTTCAGATCAACACCTGTCTGCCCGTCTCCAAGTGCAAGTTCCGGAGGCCTAGCGGCCCAGGGCCCGGCACACAGGAGGCACTTAACCAGTATCTGCTGACGAATTAAGTCTCTTCCCTTCAGATACAGCACGATCGTTAATGAACGGTTTGTTTTAAATGAGCTGCCGTCGGGATCCAGGGACGTGACGCCTGGGCATGCGCACAGCCGGGTGGAGCCTGGCTAACGCTCCGCTGTGGTCAGCTGCAGGGCAGGACACTGTGTCCCCAGGGCCACCCCGACTCTGCGTTCCCACAAAGAGCGACTGGCTGACGTCCGATTTGGCCCACGGTCACGAAGTGCCACTCTCGGCTCCCATACCGCAGGGAGGGAGCAGCGTCTGCTCCACCGAGATGCTCTCCGGGCTTGCCAAGCGGCTCATCTCCAACCCGGCCCCGTTGCCTCCACCAGAGACTGGACCCCGGGCACCAATGGGGAAGCGCCCTCTGACGCTGTTCATTAGGTCCAGGTGGACGCAGACGTCTGTTAAGGGAGGGGCCCGGGTACCGCTCCCCTGTGGGTCTGTGGTTACCAAACAAGTGTAAATGGGAGCTGAAGGAACCACCTGTGTCCTGCCCTCCCGGCTGAGGGTGTGCTGGGCGAGGGGCTGGGCCAGCAGCCCTGGGGAAAGGCGGGGTGACAGCGGGGCCCCAGGCCTGGCCCTTCTCCATGAGGTGCGGGCAGCGTGCTGACTGGGCAGTCTGGATCCTGCACCTCCTGGACAAGTTTAAGTTCAAAAGGGTTCCAGGGGCTGACAGGAATTTGCTGACTCTTGATTTATCATGTAAGCTCATTAAACAGTCAACAAGCAAAAGCCTTCCCTCTGCTGTCACTGCCGCCTCCTCCAGGACACCGTGCTGCCACCGTGCAGGGGAAATGGGGCAACCTCTCTACACTTGAGACGTATGGCATTAGGGAACCCCGCAAAACACGCGGCTTCTCCTCGTTTTCCCAGGACTCACTCAAGCCTTAGCTGAGATCAGCTCACCGAGCGCGGTGCCCAGAGCCGGGTCCCATTTGAGACCCCCGGCCCCGGCGCTGGGTCTCTGACAAACCCAGCCTCCCCGCTCCTGGGGCACAGGGACTTCAGACACGCTGACAAGCAGCCCGACACTGCAAGGTCACACCTAGGACAACGCTGCCCTCCTGGTCACCTGGGACAGTCTCTGCTCCCAAGTCCACCCTGAAGCACGGCCAGCGGCCAGCAGCGTGCCCCCCATGGCCCTTTTTTGGCTGGGGGGAGGGAGAGGGGGGGCTGAGCTGTGCTGAGCTGACTTCTGACAGGGGCGTGAGACCGTGCGGGGAAGTCATGGTACTTGTACATCTGAACAGACAGTACAAGTTTCAACTGTGTAAGACGGTTCCGTTCAGCCGCCGGCAAGCACAGGGGCGGGGCGGGAGACCACTGCGCAAACCCCTCCGTCTGTCCGTGGGTGGCTACTGCTCTTCTGAGTCTCCGTGTGTGTACGTGCTGCTCCCAGGCAGGAAGGAGCTACCATGCAAGCTGCCGGGAGACGCAGCCTGCTAAACGCCTGTAAGGGAAGCAGGCACCCGAGTATCTGCTGAGGAGATGCGTTCCAGAGAGAACTGAACACCTGAGGCCGGCTCCCCGCGGGAGCGGCCAGGGTTCTGAGCGGCGTTGTGTGGCAGGTGGCGGTGCTCGGAGCTCCCAGCGGGCGGGGGCCACGCACCTTGCGGACCACGGGGCTGCCGTCATTGATCAGCTGGGCCAGCATCATGGCCACGTTGTGGTCGATGGTGGTGGAGTGGTCCGTCCTCTCTGCAGAGTTGCCCACGAACGTGCCGAGCGCGAAGACCGCTGCACAGCGCACCTGCAGGCGGACAGGGCGGCGGTCACGCCCCGGCCGGCTGTTTGGGCCTGAGCTCTGGCCGGGCCCCGAGGGCTGACCTGTCATGGCCCCCCTCGGCCAAGCTCTGCCCGTGAGGATGAGCAGGAGCCGGGGAGGAGCAGGAGGCAGGTCGCCGACCCACCTGAGTGCCAGGTGGCAGGCTGTGCAAGCAGGAACTCTGGGGTCAGAGCCCTGACCAGGTGTGGGGTGACTAGGGAGGGAGAGGATCAGGGAGAGGGGACGAGGGTGGGCAGGGCGGGCCTCTGCAGGGGGCGCAGTCTCCGTGCCGCCCCTTCCCGGGGTGGGGGGACTCACCTCGGGGATGGGGTCGGAGAGGAGGCTGCACAGCTTCTCGTGTGCGCTGTCCCGCACCCCACACCAACGCGCCGAGTCGAAGTTCTGCCAGATGCGCCCCAGGCAGATGCCCACCCACTGGCGCAGCAGTGGGTGGGGGTCGTTGAGCTGCTCCAGGCAGATGGCGATCAAGTTGCCCTGGAGACAGGCCTCCTGCGGGAAGGACCACGTGCATGTCACCCCGACCCGACTGGGGCAGGGGAGGGGGCCAGGCTGGACCCACCCTGGCATCACTCGCGGAAACTTGCTCAACTCTCCTCATTTTAAACCCCACCCACTTCACGTCACCCTGCAGACGGCTGGCTAAATCGATGGTCCGGCCCCCACCCACCCCCCACGGTGCCCCCCCCGGGCAGACGTGCTCCCGTAACTGCCTACCCCACCCCCGAGGTCACTGCTTCATTAGACGACGTCCAGATCCGCAGTTCCTCTGGCCCCCAAAGACAGGGGCTCAGGGCGGGGCCGCACAGGACACCCACCTGCCCGGTGTTGTAGCTGTTGACGATCACAGCCAGGATGAAGGCCGTCATGGTCCTGTGCTCAGCCTGGAAAAGAGACGTCACTGCGAGTCGGCACTGCCCTTCTCCACGGTGGGGACTCCTCGTTCCCAAGCCTCCAGAGCCGTGATGCTGAGCCCTACGTGCAGCTGAGGTAGGGGAACCAGCTCTACTATCTTCTGATTTGAGTCCACAAAGGGGAACAGCCCTTTCAAAGGGCCTGGCAGCCCCAGGCGGGCCTCTCGGAGGACAGGTGGGTCCCTGACGCACTGAAGGCCTCTCTGAGGCTCCCCCTCGGAGGCCGTCCTGGTGATCCCGGGCCCTGGCCACCCCCGCCCCGCCCAACCTGTGCAAGCGAGCCGCTCAGTGCAGCAAGCTGGTGGCAAGGTGACCGAGCACTGCCCTAAGTCGGCCTCACCTCTCCCGCTCCCGGTCCTCAGGGGGGCGGACCACTCTCGTCCCTCCTCTCCTCAGCGCTCCCTGACCTGGACACCAGCCTGTGTCTACCTGTTAGTGGCGCCTCGCGTTTCTAACACGCAGGCTGGACCCCTGAAGTGGGTCACCCTCCGCGTCTTGCGGGGACTCCGAGGCTCCTCCTCGCCGTCGGCCCCTCGCACGAGGGGTGCGGGCTTACCCTCGCAGCCGTGCTGACTGAGATACAGTGTCTGCTGGTGCCTGGCTCCCCTCCCTGGGCCCCACTCCCTCCTGAAATGTGGTGTTCTTGGCCGCCTCGGTGGGGTCGGCACAGGGGTCCGGGGTGACGGTTCCTCTGGGCTGTGAGGCCTTTCAGCGGTCTTCGTTCGTTACTCTGACGACTGCAGAAATCCTCCTCTTTATCCTGGTTACTTTCGAGGTTTTTCCTCTTGCCTTTGACGTCTCTGCTTCATGACAATGAGTCTTTGTGTGGATTTGTTCTTATTTAACCTTCTCAAGACTCACTGTCCTTCCTCAACCTGAAAACTCGTTTCTTCTTTCGATCTGGAGAAGCCCCCTCCACCACCCGTCCGGCCGTGCATCTCTGCTGCTGCCTCCAGCTCTCCCTGCGCCGGGGGGTCGGCGTCGGAGCCGGCGAGCCCCACCGGCGGCCTTCAGGCCCCTTCCCGTCTCCCGCCTCGTGCTTCCCCCAGGGCTTCCTTTATTGGCCGCGACACTCTGCTGTTTAACTTGCCGGCGGAGCTTCCAGTGACAGTGCCTGTCTTCCATCAGGGTTCTTTTTGTTTTCCCCCAAATCTGTCTTTTTATTAAAAGACTCTAGTTGGTCATTTCTGAGGATGACTGAAGAGGACGGAGAACGTGGCAACACCAGGCACGGATGTACTCTGGAGAAGCAACACGATGGTTGATCGTTGGACGTAAGTGAAGCCACTGTGTGTTAAACCTTTCTAAACACACTTATTCGTGCTGCTCTCCAGGCCTCGTCAGGGAGCCCCGGTTCCAGCTCCTGGCGGCAGGCCCTCCGCCGTGCCAGCTCCGCTTCTCCCCCTCGTGCTGGCCCCCGGAACCCGCACGCCTGGCGCGGGCCTCTGTGCCCCGCCGTGCAGGTGCCCCTGCAGACAGGGCAGCCTTTGCCCCTTCCCGGCAGGCCCCGAGACTTCACGTTCATCTCCGTGGGGGGAGTCTCCGTTTCTCGCGAGGCCTCTCCGGGCTTTGCTCCCAGATGTGCACGGCAGACGGACCAGCTCCTCTCGTCCACGTCTGGTGACGGGCACCTCGCCCCCAGGCCCGTGCGGAGCCCAGGGTCCCCGCGACGCCGCCCGTCCCACCGTGCCCCTCCTCTGGCTTGGTTTTGGCACGTGGGGATTTCCTTTCCTTTCTTTCAAATCTGTGTCCTCAGAACCCCCAGGTGTGTGCAGCTGCAGGGGGGCCGATCCGTCGGCATCGCTCACCGTCTGACTCTCCCTGAGGAGCGGGCAGGTGGCTGCTTCCCACGCTCGTGCACAGCATTGCGTCACCTGCCTGTGACGACGCCAAGCACCACACTCAGGTTAAAGCACACAGGTTGTATTTACCTTTTCTACGACCGTCCTGTTTTTAATGTTCTCTGGATTTTAAAAAATCTGTTTTTTATTATCATCATCATTTAGTTTAGAAAACCAACTAGAGGGCGAGATCACACACAGAAGTTCCTTTACACAACCTAAGCTGCCTAAGCCCGTGAGAGCGAGCCGTTACGCTGTCAAACTAAGTTATACTAAGTTGTTACTTAGGGTGAGGACTCTGCCCTCTGCAGTGTGCTAGGAGCTAGAAGGAGGGAACATAGAAGTGAATTAAAAACCATTTACAGGAAGTCACTCTATACGTTATTTGTGGATTATGAATTTTTAAATAACTTAACACAATAAAGTATACTGAAAACATGAATGTCCTTCCTTCCTCCCCCTCCCGTCCTGACTCAAGGCGCACGGCCTCCCGTCCCGGCCAGGACCACCCTGGCCTCTCGGGTGTACGAGCGCCCCGGTCTAACTCGGCGGCCAGCACACGCCGGAGCGGGGATGCCCCTCCACTGCAAAGGCGTGCCAGGAAATGGACCCAGGGGAACCACCAGCCCAGCCTGTGTGTCAGGGTTCACTGCGACTCTCATGCAGAGAAGCAGCAACTGAGACAACGTGTCAGGAAGCAAAGGGCTCCGCCTGCAGGGGGCGTCGGCGGGCCAGCGCCCTGGGGCCCTCTGCTTGGAGAGCTCCTGCAGCGCCCGCGTGAGACAGGCCGCGGGAGCTCGTGCGCAGGGCGTGGTCCTTACCGGCATGTAGGGGTCCGCCAGGACCGAGAGGAAGTACTTGTGGCCGTTGTCCTTTACCAGGTCGGCCTGGCACGACTGCGGGGAGACAGGAGAGACAGTGAGCGCAGGCACCTGGAAGGGCGCCCTCCTCTTCTGGGGACGTGTGAACAAACGAACACGCAACGAATACTTCACGCCTTAACATTTTCTCAAGTTCAGTTTCCATTTGAAAAAACAGTGAGAGGGCGTTTTCCTTGGCATGGGAAGCGGCTGGCACCTCACGTGCCCTCAGAAGCACGGCAGCTCCTTCCTGATGGGCGGGGGTCCCTGGCCTCCAGGCTGGGTTCCCTGGAGGCCCCCTCCCCGTGTCAGCCTGGGGCCCACGCGCCCCTCCTCACGCCCGGCACCTGAAACCACCCAGCTTCTGCAGCCCCCAGCCCAGGCCGCAGCTGTCTCGTGCCTTTGCTGGGACTTACGTGGTCTGTGTGGGTATAATATTTACAAATCACTTGGGTCACACGGTCACATTTTAACAGGTGCTTCCTAGGGGCCCCACTCCTGCCCCAGGGGAGCAACTCCAAGTGGAAAGTGCATTTAGTGCTGGCAGGTCTGCCAGCGCCGGTCAGCGCCGGTCAGCACCACTGTGTGGTGGACACGCTCACCTGCCCGGCAGGGTTCAGGACCACGGGCTGGGGCCTGGAGGAGACCGCCAAGCGGCTGTGGCCCACGGGGAGGAGGGGGGTCCAGGGGGAGGAGGCGCCCAGCTAGTGGCACCAGATGAAACACGTGACCTGCAGAAGCGCAACGTGGCCCCGCAGCGCAGTGTACAAACCACAGACGCTCTCGCTCTGGGAAAGGCTGACCCATGGAACACGCCCACGCCGTTCACTGGGCTCCGGGGGAATATCCAGAAAACCTGCCCCCGACATTGAGGGTCACGCGTCCCTAGGGAGATGCTGAATTCTGGCAGCCCCCGGCGTGCTCCGCTCTAGGGGGTGAAGGCTGCTCAGAAGAGGGGTCAGCATCTTAAGGCCCGAGTCTCGGACGGCACTGCCACACGGCCCCGGCTCTAGGGGCGCCCGCTCGCTGGGGCAGGGCCTGTGCAAAGCCCTCTCAGGGGCCCGTGGGCGTGCACACGGAATGTGCTGTTCACTGCAGCCCGGAGCCCTGCCCCCCACCTTCCCCGCCGCCCCTCTCCCAGGGCTGCTCTGATAACGAGCTGTTTCTCGGTCACATCAATAAACTAATAAGGTAGCTACTGGACTCGGCTGTTTCATTGGGAACTGAGCGAGGCAGAGGGGCAGTCGGGGAGCAGGGCACCAGGGCTCGGGTTAGCAGGCTGGTCCCTGGGGCCAGGGAAGCCAATTAAGCGTAAGCTTTCAAGTCACTCCCAGAAGGGAGCCCTCGCTCTGAATGAGGTTTTGACAAATGAGCTCAGAGGAGTCAGCGTGATGCCCCCTCTGCAGAGACTCGTCCAGAAGGGCCGGGAGAGGGCACGGGGGCGGCCTGCAGCCTAGAGCCTGCGCCCAAGGACACAGTCGCCTTAATTTTTACACCAGAGGCTTGTCAAGCCGAATCGAGGCCCAAACAGTCACAGTGAGGCTCCTGAAGCACAGCGCGATGAAGTGTCACCAAGTCCCATCCTCCAGGTTGACGCTGAGGCACACGTCAGAGCACCTGAAGCTGCAGCTTCAACGCGCCTTCGGCGTCGGAGACGGCGACGACGTTTACACTAAAAGATCTCTGTTTGGACGAGGCTGTCAGGCAGGAAGGAACCACCAAACACTCTCTCTGGTCACGCCCACCCTCACGGCCAGCCCTCGGCGGGTGTCCTTACGAACCGGCTTAGAATCTGCTCAGATTCTCACCACATCAGCCACCTCAGCCCTGTCTGTGTCCACACCCGTGGGCGGGCAGGCGGGCTGGGGACCTGCAGGGCATGGCTCTCGGAGGACGCTGGGACACAGGCCACCGGCCCCCGCTCACCTTCCCATCCTCCCGCCTCCTCATAAGGAAGAGAAAGCAGTCCTTTTAACAGCAAAGGCCCAGCAACGCTGGCACAGGCGGGGGTAGAGGCTCTGGCCGCCCGACCGCCTCCAGGGAGCCGCTTCCAAAGGCTCGATCTGTGTCTGTCTGTCTGTCTGTCCTCACGGGGTGAGGCTGCAGGTGTGAGTGCTTAAGGCTGGAGGCGAGGACGAGCCTGGATGCGAAACGGTTTTTCCTAAGCAGGTGACCTCCCCCGCCCCGCCAGCTCTGATGCTTCCGTCTCAGGGTTTTCAGGGAATTACATTGTTAAGACGGGGAAAGGGAGGCGAGGAGGAAAGACAAACAGAGAGAAGGGGACCCAAGCACCTTTCAGCAAGGCAGCAGCTGGAGGTGTGGTTTGCAAACAGATGAGCGGATGGACAGACAGACCGAGGGGGCAGAGCCAGAGCCGTCTGTCACTGCCTGTATTTTTCCACTTTCGGCAAATTCTTGAGGTTTCCTTCGTGGCCTAACATATGGTCAGACTTCATGAACAGACATTTAAAAGAAGGAAAAATGTTTACAACTGGGTCAGAATTCAATACACACTCCTTCATTCTACCTCACCGTAAGCCTGCTTTTAACAAACTAGCGACGCTTAAGTGCACAGACACGTTACACCACCGAACACTCACAGTCACTGAGAGGGAGGAAGTTACTGTAACTCCCCTTAAAAAAAATCGAAGTGTAACGGACCCACGTCATATTGATACCATTGTAAACGTTTTCAGCAGTTCATACAAATTGGCTAATAGCGGATGTAGAGTCGTGCTGTTTGGAAATAGTTACACTTCCGTCCAGCCTGCATGGTTTTGCTGCCTCACTGCACGACCCAGGCCTTGCAGCACACCTCTGCAGACTCCCCTCTGTGGAACTGCTTCTGCAGACTCCCCTCTGCGGACTCCCCTCTGCGGACGGTCAGGTGCCCGGCTCCGCGCCTGGCCCTGGGGCTCAGACGTGCACCACGTGGTGTGACGTGGGCTCCAGCATCTTCGGGGGACGCTGTCTGTCATGTGGAGGGAGCTCCCTCGTTGGTTCCTCACTAGTTTGCTGAGAAGTCCTTGTTTTTTTTCCAATCAGGAGTAGATTTTAGATTTGGTCAAATGTGTTCTTTCTCGCCACTGATGAGATGATAATACAGCTTTTTGTTTGTTACCGTGACAAATTACATTTTTTTTCTATCTTTAAACAAGTTAACATTCCTAAAGTCAGTCCCCCTGGGTCATGACACACTGCCCTTTCACACCTTGCGGAATTTGATTTGTGAAGTCTGGCTGAACATTTTTGCATCTACCGTCACCAAGGACACAGGGCAGCAGCTTTCTTTTCCTGCCTGGTTGCAGGTGTCAGGACGCCGTGAGTCTCGCGGGATGGCGGGCAAGGTGCTTACCGCCATCCACGTACTTCTTCATCAACGCTTGGGCAGAATTCACCAGGGAAGCCACCTGGACCTGGAGTTCTCTTTGCAGGAAAGTTTTCAACCACAAACCCGAGCTGTGAAGCAGGTCCAGTGCTGTCCAGGTTATCTTCCCTCTAAGGGAGCAGCCGTGCCATCCGAGGAACTTACTTCACCAGTCGCCACAAGCTCTGGCATCGAGTTGCTCACAGATTCCCTCACCGTCCCTCCGCGTGTCCAGAGCCTTCGGTGATGCCGCCTCGCTCACTGCTGACTTGGGTGTTGTGTCTTCTTTGTCTGTTTCCTCATCAGTCTGCGCAGTTACTGCTCTGCTCAAGGCAGCAGCTTTCTTTCGATTGAGTGAATCTTTTCTGCTCTCCACTGTGATCTTTGTTGTTTCCTTTCTCCTGCCTCCTCTGGATTTGACTTGCCTTTCTTTTCCTAATATCTTAAGGTGGAAGCGGAGGTCAGTGATTTGAAACTCTTCTTCTTTTCTAATACACGCATTTAGGACAGAAACCTCCCTCGCGGCACCACTGGTCTGTGCCCCACAGTGTGTTTGCACTTTCATTCAAGGTATGTTTCACTTCCCTTGAGACCTCCTCGTTGAAAAAAATTATTTTAAAGTTCTTATTTCATTATTTTATATACTAATGTGAATGTTTACATGATTATAAGTATTCATAATTATGTACAAATTATACCAAGCATATAAGTTATATTAAAGTATACATATTTCCCAGCTTCACGGAGGTATAATTAACAAATGAAACTTGTATACGTGTAAGGTATAAAACGTCATGGTTTGATTTAAGTATGTATTGTGGAAAGACGAGCACAATCAAGGGAACTAACACGTCCGTCATTTCACACAGGTACCATTTTTTTCTTGGTGTGACAAGGGCTCCTAAAATCTGCTGTTACGTACACAGTGCAGCACCGGTAACTGAACACCAGGCTGTGTGCAGGCCGCCAGAACTTACTCACCTTGTAAGGGGAGTCTGTCCCCTCTGACCAGCCCCCGCCCCCCCAGCCCCCGACAAGCACCGTTCTGCTGTCTCTGTGATGACTTCTGCGGTTCCACAAACGACAAGACCGTGCAGCTTTTGTCGTTGTCTCGTCTGGCTTACTTCACTGAGTACAATGTCCTCCGGCTTCAGCCATGGTGTCTCCGATGGCAGGATCTCCTCCTTTTTTATTGGCTGGATGACATTCCACTGTGTGTGTGTGTGTGTGTGTGTGTGTGTGTCCCCGCTGATGGACGCAGAGCTGGCTTCCACACACATCTTGGCTGTTGAGAACAACGCTGCAGCGGACCTGGGAGCGAGGTACCTCCCTGAGACACGGACACTGTTTCCTTCGGATCGGCACCCATTAGTGAGGTTGCTGGACTGTGTGGTGGTTCTGTTTTTAAATTTCTGAGGAGCTGCCATGGTGTTTCCACAGTGGCTGCACCGACTTACATCCCCACCAACAGCACACGAGGGCCGCCTTGGGACCCGTGAACGCGTCTGTTTGATGATGTCTCACCGCGGCTTGACTGCGTTTCCGATGGCGAGTGATGCTGAGCACCTTCTCGTGCGCCCTTGGGCCGTCTGCATGTCTTCATTGGGAGAACGCCTGCTCAGGTCCTCTGACCGTTTTTAATTCAGTTTTGTTTTGTTTTGTTTTGTTTTTTGCTACTGAGTTGTCCGAGTTCCTTGAAGCGTACTTTGGTATTAATCCCGTGTCAGCAGATGGGCTGCACACGTTTTCCCGCGCTCGGACCTCCCGCTCTGAAGGCTGTTTTTTCATTTTGTTGATTGTTTCCTTCGTTGTGAAGATTTCAGTTTGATGTAGTCCCACTTACTCATTTTACATATAAATTTTTATAACTATAAATAAACGTGAGTTTATGTAAATATTTATGTTGCTTATACAACTTCACATTTATATTTTATTACATATTTTAATTTACATATTTACATTACTTAAATTTTTATTTTATAATTAAAAAAATTTAAATTGAAGTACAGTCAGTTCATAAGGTGTCATTCTCTGGTGTACGGCATCATGCTTCAGTCACATACATACTTGTTTTCACCTCCTTTTTCATTGTAGGTCACTACAAGATACTGAATACAGTTCCCTGTGCTACAAGGTAGGTCCTTGTTTATCTGTTTTATGCACAGTAGTTAGTATCTGCAAATCTCAAACTCTCAATTTGCCCCTTCCCACCCCGTCCCCCGAGTAACCGTAAGATTGAAAAGCAACTTAACCGTTGAAAGAGTGCAGTTTAGTTTCCACGTGTTTGGGGATTTTCCTGTTACCTACTCTGGTTCTGCGTTTGCTTCCACTGTGGTTGTAGAATTCACCGTGTGCGATCCCACGGCTCTCAGATGCGCTGCGGTTTGCTCTATGGTGCGGGACGAGGTCTGCTGTGGTGTGTCCCTGGGGCATGGAGAGGGTGCACGGTGCGCAGCTGTGCGGAGCTGCTGCAAAAGCCAGACACGGCCCAGCTGGACACGTGCTCCAGGGAACGTTCCCGGGTTGGCTCCGACGGGTCCTGCCACGTACTGAGAAGGGAGGAGTGATGGCTCCTCCCCCTCCCCTGCAGCTCCCCCGGTTTCCGGCTTCTGTGTGTTCAAATGCTGGTACGGGGTGAGCGAACACCACGACCACATCCCCAAACGAGGGGACTCCTTTGGCCTCAGGAGACGACACGTTACCCGGTGACACCCTCGGGCTGACGACTGCCGGCCGTGTTAACAGGGGCACTCAGCCTTCATCTACCCAGTGGTCACACGATGTAGCTTCACGTCTAATCTATTCGTGTCTTCTATGCAAAGTGCGTTTCTCTTAGGCTCATTTGGTTGGTTCTTTTTTCTTTTAAACCCAGCCTGACAATCTCTGCCATCTAACTGGGCACCTAGACCATTCACACTGTGATTACTGAAGTCAGGCTGCAGTCCTGCGTTTTCCAAAGTTATCTGCCCCGGGTACGGATTTGCGGGACACTGAGGACGCAGCCCGCTGTTCCGGGGCCATTACCGCGCCCGACAGGCGCCCGCTGTCGCCCTGACTTGGCTTCTCTGTGTCTGCGCTTGCTGGCTGCTTTTGAGCCCCTGGATCCATGTCGTCTTTTAGCGCCTTGACGAGCAGGCGCCCTGGTGCCGCCTTCTCCGCTCCTCGTGCTTGGGCTTGTGGGCTTCCCAGGTCTGCGGGTTTATACTTTTCATCAAACTTGAGGCTCTCTTAGCCATTATTCCTTCAAATGTTTCCTCCGCCAGCCCCCTCTGGGGCTCCAAATACATGTGGCAGGTCATTGGCAGCCGCCCCACGACTTGGAGGCGCTCCCTTCGTTGCACAGAGGGGCCTCTGCTCACTGCGCTTCTTTTTGGAGAGTTTTTATTCCTGTGTCTTTAAGTTCACTGATTTTCCTTCTGCAAAGCTCAGCTGGTTGCTCATCCCACCCAGCACACGTTCCCGGCCACGCCTGCAGTCTTCATCTCCAGAACTCTGAGCTGGGTCCTTTTAGCACCTTCCACGTCTCAGTGGAGCTTTTCACGTGGAACAGACTTCTCATGACTGTTCCAACGTCCCTGTCTGATCATTCTACCGTCTGTGACAGTCCAGGAGAGGTTCTGGGGGGCTGACTTCTTTCTCCTCATGATGGACCATGTTTCCCTGCTTCTTCACGTGCCCGGTCACTGCTGCTGGTGGCAGTGACAGTACAGCAACGTGAGGCGCGGGGGATGCGGGGGGAGACCCTCCGGGACCCGGCTCCGCGGACAAGACGGGGGCCCCGAGGCGTCAGGAAAGGGCTCGCCGAAGGTGCTGTCCCGAGGCACCTTCTCAGCACATCAGGGCCCCCACAGCACATGTCACCCCTCAAGTGGCGCACGGTCCCCCGGGCCTGCCGCCCTTTCCTGAATGCCACCCTCCCCAAGGCTGAAGTCCTTCCCGTCCCCTGCATCCCAGGAGCCCCTCCCGTGATGGCCTCGGCTGGGACTGCAGCCTTGGCGGCCCCGCCCTCCCAGCCCTGGGAAGCCCCGGGAGGTGGGCAGCTCCCTGGCAGGGGATGTGGAGTGCTGGGGCGCTGGAGTGCCTCACTGTGCCCCCGGCCCTCAGGGAGGCCACGTCGAGGACCCCTCCGGGAGCTAGGGGCTCCACGTGAGGACGCGGGGCCAGAACAACTCCTGAGAAACACCCCGAATTCAGTCTCGTGGGGACTCGGCCAGGGTGGCGGCGGGAGGGAAGGAAGACGTACAACATTCAGTCTCAGCCGGAACATGGAGCCGCCTCGCAGTGGGGTGACTGCCTTCAGACAACAGGCGCCACGAGCTGGGTAAGCGGCCAGCTCGCAGGGCGGCCCCGGCACCCGTGGCGCTTACAGAGCGCTGACGGCGAGGACACTTCCTCAGCTCCTCCAGCGTCATTAAACGTGGGACCCAGCACAGAGCAGACGGTGAGCACGGGCCCGAGACACCCCAAGAGCAGGTGTGACAGACGCGCTGCAGGACCGAGGGCTCGGGGCCCCTCGGGGCCCCCCGCAGCGGGGGCTCACACGGGCCAGGGCCTCTGGCGGTTTCGAGGCAGCCGTGTGCAGGACCGGTGTGTGAGCATAGTGGGGTCTGTCACCTCCGGGCCAGCAGTGCTGGCGTGGGAGCCCGAGGGTGTGAGCGGCACAGAGTCCCGGGCAGTGGGCGGTGGCAGTGGCGCAGGGGCCTGGACGGAGGAGGGGCCGACACACTGAGCCGAGGCCCCCACCCCCTCCTCCTGCGGAGCCGGGACCGGCCTCCACTCTGCACGGTGATGCCCCGCCTCCTGCCCCCTGCTCTGCGGCTCTGCTGGACCCCCCTCCCGTGGGTGGAAAGGGCACCACGCAGATCACGGCGCTTGCATGACAGATTTGCTACAGGATCCTGGGCAGCTCCTTAAATGACCATTTTCTTATCCGCAAATAACGTGCGAGGTCACACTGACAGCCTGGAGCTGATGTGAGAATCGAGATTCTTCACAGCAAAGCCCTTGGCCCTGGGCGACACCCACACTCACGTGGGCACCCAGTGGGCGGCTCGAGGTCACACCCGAAGCTCGGTTCTCGTCTCCAACTAGAGACCGTCCAGGTCACTGTTCCGTCACAAGCAGCAGACCCACCCATGGGCGCTGCCCTTCCCCCTGCAGACCCTCGGCAGGCCCCCGGCCCCCTCTCTGTGTCGCACCAGGGCTCTGAGGCCGGAATGCCGGCGCGCAGCCACTCTCGGGGCCTGTGTCCCTGCTCCCTGTGCGCACCCTCAACCCAGAGCCTCCTTCTTCGTGTCCTGTAACCCAACGCCCCAGCCTCCCCTTGACAATCCCCGTCCACCCTCTCTTCTCCCCGAGCCTTCGTGTCCACGGGCCCCTCGAGGACTCACTGTCTCATCACCGGGTGGACGGGCCTGTCTTCATCGCCCGGACCACGCACGAGGCTTCATCACTGGGGTCTCCCCCACTGTGGCCGCCTGCCCCTCTGTCACCTACACAGCCAGCCCTCCACACAGGCTCAAGCTCACACCCACCCGGCCCTGTACCGCTGCCCCTCCCGCCCCCAGGCCACCTCCACAAGGAAGCGGGTGGTCATTGCTGACTGGAGGGTGGCTGTGGGCAGGAGGGGGCAGCACACCAGAGACAACAGGTGAGTGGAGGGCTGGGGGGACAGACCAGGGCTGGGCCCCCTCCCGGGAGGGAGGTGGTGGAAGGCGGAGGCCGGGGAGGACAGTGGTACTCACGCTGTCCACGGCGAGGATCTTGGCCCAGATGAAGACGAGGAGGGGCCGCAGCTCCCGGGCCGAGCTCTGGAGCAGCTTCAGCACGTAGGGGAAGATGCCCACAGACAAGGCCTGTGGGAGGGGGAGTGTGAGCCTCGGCGGGGGCAGGGCACGGCGCCCTGGTTCCCCAGGGACGGTGCCCGCCTCACCCCGACCCTTCCCGGGGGCCTGCCTGATCCGCAACCTGCAGCTGGTCTAGGGTGGCTTTCCCCATGGGGACCTGTGGCTCCTGGGACCCACCGTCCCTGCCCTCGGGGGCCCTGTCTGCTCTCAGCACCAAACCCCAGGCCCCTGAAGGGTGATCGCCACACGGGGACCCTGTCTGGGCCTCCATCTCTTGCCTACCGGTCGCCCTGGAGGCAGATGGTCAGAGGGGCTGGGAGTAAGGGGGGAGCGGGTGTCTCTGAGCAGGAAACCGGGCGAAGCTCATTACGTCAGTCACCTTGGCTCTGCTCTGCCCACATCTGAAACTTCTCGGAATTCTAATGACATCCCAAGGCACCCCCTTTCAGGACAGCTAGGGGGTGGTGCCCAGCCCAGTGGCCCACGGCAGGCCCGGGTCCCTGCTTGTTAACGAGGGGCAAACGTCGGTTTCTCGTGGTCAGGCCCTCACCTAGGGGCCTAACCTGTACCTGTCACAACACCTCATTACCTGGCACCTCTTCGCACATGGGCACAATTTCCAACTAACACAAGCTTAACTCTTTAAAGGGCCAAAATTAGCTTGAAAAAGTTGACCATATAAACGAGGCTCCCTCTGAAACGTCACTAATGCACGTTTCCCCGTCTCTGAAGGAGCACGAGTGAGGCGGCCGAGGCCCTTCCGCAGCGGTGCAGCGGCAGCAGGTGCACGGGTCCTGGCTGGCCACGAGGTTAGGGGACGCCTGGGCCTCCACTGCGCGCACCTGCCACGCGCTCTTCGTGCTCAGGCCCCTCGGGGTACCGGGCTGGTGCTGGGCGCGGAAAGGTTCTTCCTGCTTCTCAGTCTACCCTCTTCTCCTTCAGTGCTGAGCTACAACGACCACTCTTGGTCGACAGTACATCACGAAACAGCTTAAGTGCACACAAATGGAGCTGAAATGACCCGAGACCTCCCATGTGCCCAGCGCCCAGCGCCACCGTCACCCAGCGGCCTGGCATCCTGACTGGCCCGGCCCACTGGCCCCTCGCATGCCCTCGTGATTTCTTTGGTAAACAGTGTTCATCTCTAAAAAACAAGGCCACGTTTACGAAAACATGACCACATACCACTACCACACGTGAAAAAACGGACAATTATTCTTTAATAACATAAAATAGTTCATGTAAAACTTCTAACTGCTTCATGAAGGTTAATTGCCCGATTTTAGCTTTCACACTTTGATTTGCAAACAGAGCCAAATACGCTGCAAACGCTGCAGCTGGTGTGGGGGCTCCCGGCTCTGCCCTGGCCTCCAGGCCCCTCTCAGCACCTCTTTCCCTCGTGTTCACTAAGTGGACCCCTGGGCTCTATTTTTGTCGGTGTTTTGTTTTAAATGGCCGTTTCCACTCTTTCGTAGAATGAATGATAGAAAAGCGTTTCAGAATTGTGCCTAAAATCTGAGTGACTGTCCTGAGAGAACACGAGCCACATGTGGCCGGGCCAGCCCGTCCCTGACAAGCGTCCATCAAGGACCCTTTCCATCCTAAAAGGCGAAGCCTCACAGCAGACGGAAAAGGGGCCCCCGACGGCGACAAGGAAGGCACACAGGGTGTGGCCCATGGGGGGCCTGCGGGCTCACTGGTCACCTCCATGGCCGCCCTCGGCCACACGGCCAAGGCCCCTGGACTCCGTGATGGTAACGTGGGTCCGGTGGGCCCCCCCGCCCCCCAGCAGGAAGCACGCACCAGGCTCACCGCCCAGGGACCCAGGTCCAGGAACCTCCCCAGCAAGTCCAGGGCCCTCAGCCGGTGCACCTGGCTCAGCAGCACCTGAAACGAGAGGGGCGGCGTGAGCGCGGGCGCTGCTCTTCGCGCGGGCGCGGCTCTCTGCAGACAGGCTGGGGAAACGCCCCCTTCCCCGCAGGAGGGGCGCCTGGAGAAAGCAGGACAGACGCTTCTCAGCGTGTTTAAGGAAGAGCTCGCTGACGACACAGGACACCGACCTCCAGACGCGGCTCTCTGTGTGCGCGCCTCCCCGCTACTCCGTGCTCGCGGGTGCACCGCTGCGCCTCTCGCCCCCTCGCTGACTGCAAGAGACACAGCGACTCTCCCCCACACCCCTGGACACGCCTGACCGGCACACTGCCGACGGCAGCACCGAGCTTCATGGCTGTGAACGTGCGCAATTCACTTAGTCTCCCCGCTGCCAGATATTTAAGTTGTTGTCAAATTTCTGCTGTTACAAACAGCACTACGATAAACACCCTAACGGGTGTATCTGCACGTTTATGTGGCTCCCCTCAGGACAAACCTGTGAAGTCAAGTCACAGGGTCAGAGCACACACACTTGTATCGCCAGGCTGACCGCCAAGCAGCGTCGCGTCCGCGCCGGTGCCACGAGCTGGGTGGCCTTGGGCAAAAACTTCTCAGAACCTTAATCTCTTAATTCATGCGTAACACAGGACTCACCTACACGGGTTCCATTAAATGTCAGACTAAAAGCTCCCAGGAAACACTCGTCCATATTACACTATTACTTGCTTACACGATGGATAATAATAGAATGCCCTTTAAATCTGAATTTCTTTGATTACAAGTGAGGCTGAGTACTTCCTCATAGGTTAATTGGCTGTTTCTCGAGTAAACTGGTGCGCGTGCCCTTCTCTCCCCCCTAAGCATCTGGCTTGTTCTTACTGACATGAAAGAATTCTTTGTAGATTAACACCAGCCACCTCCGCCGCGCACTTCCCTCTTTTCTCCTGTGTTGTATCAGTTCTCAGCTCTCATGGAGTCACCTTACTGGCTCTTCCCCATGGTGTGTACGTGCACCAGTCCCCGGGGTGAACGCACACGCCGCGATTCCCAGTCGTCCCAAGGGCGTGGGGCACTTACCGTGTGCGGCCGCCGGGCTGGGTGCTGGGGCCACTGGGACCAGCAGGCCCACTCCTGGCACGACACCCAGCGCTGCAGAGCAGGGGTCACACGGCCGCACTGCAGTAACCACTGTGACAGCAGACACACAGCCTGGGCCGCCCCCTACTCTGGGGGTCTGAAGGCTCTCCCTCCCAGTGGGCGCCGTGGGGGTCCCCGGGTCCCAGGCAGAGGGGCTGGGAAAGCTGGGGCTGTCCGAGGAAGGGCAGGTGGCCAGTCTGATGGGGGCGGCTCCAGAACCAGCCAGGCCTGCACACCAAGCTACACACCAAGTCTTTCCTAAGACAAGCCGCAGGTGAGCTGTCCAGCATGCCTGCCGTGGGACAGGATGGCAGGAGGCCAGGGGACCCGGCTGCCGCCATGACCGATGGGGAGAAAGACATTCCAAGACAGCCAGCAGGCACAACTGACCGGAGGGTGGAGTCAGGGAAAGGAGACGCGGGGAACAAGGCTGGGAAGGAGGCGAGAGGGAAGGAGCAACGGACATGCCAGCCGGCACGGGGCGGGTGAGAGGGGGAAGCTGGGCAGAGGGGTGGAGGGAGGGGCTGGAGGCAGGACAGGGGAAGGGTGAGTTTTAGCTGTGTGCCTGCCCCTGGGAGGTGTCGGCAGCCGGAGGTGTGAGAAGAGGAACTCGGGCCACGGGGACGTGGACCCCGGGGGAGCGGGCCTGGCGGGAGAGCGGAGATGGCACAGACAGAGCAGCAGTGAGGGGCGAACGCGGGCTGGTGGGAGCTCGTTGCAGGGGGGAGTCACCAGATGGGGGACAGAGAGGCAGCGAGAGAGGCTGGAGGGAGCAGAAGGAGGGGAGGGGTCTCCAGAGGGAGGCTGGGGGGCTCCCCGGGGGCGAGCAGCCTGTGACTGCAGAGGAGCCAAGCACGCATCTCTGGCTGGTGGGCCGCCCACGGTTGGGAGCGGGAGGCCGGCTGCAGCCACCGGAGGGTGAGCTGTCTCCCACTGGCTGGGGGCCTGTGTCCCTGCCACGGCTGCGAGGGGGACGCCAGGGGGCATGCTTTGTGTTTGGAGATGCTGGGGGTCTCTGACTAAGGAGCTGGGAGGTGGCTGGGGGCTGTTCACGGGGCGTCTGACCTGACCTGATCCTCTCCTGCTTAGCCCAGGGCTATCACGGGCCCCGCGGTCGGGAAGGCAGGTCAGACAGCGGGAAAGTGCAAGCTTTGGGGGCAAGTGGCCCGACCGGCTCACTTCCTGCCAGTGTGGCTCCAATCACACCCCCAGGGAACTTCGGGGTTCTCATCCACAGGTCAGAGATCGTGACACGTGGCTTGTTTTCAGAGTGAAAGCGGACGCAGCGGGCACAGTGCTGGCAGGCGTGAGGCCTGTGAACGTCCCCGCCGCCATCCCAGCACCCAGCCACGGGTGTCTCCATCGCTCAGAGGTGACTGCATTGGCTATATTCGTCCTTAAAGAAAACGGAGCTGCCAGAGGTTCAAGTTTCTAGACGGGCCAGGATGAGCTGAGTCTCGGGCTGTGAAAGGAGGTGTAATTCGTCAAAAATCAAACACATCTAGCGCTGGCAAAGGTTCTGTTTTCTCTCAGTCGCTTTGTTGTTTAAAACGCTGCCACGGGAATAAAACTCAGTTTTTCAAGGAAATAGTAGAGCCATCTGCAGTGGAAGAGAAGGCCACGGGGCCGAGAAACCGAACAGCGCGGCGTCTGTATCACCTGCTCTCCGCGTGCACCGCCCAGCAGTGACGGGCGTCCCTCCGGGGTCTTGTTTACGACAGCAGACGTAGAAGGGGAAACCAGGCCATGTCCCTGCCCCCGCCGCGCTGGTGAGACGCCCGGGAAGCATGGGGGGGCAGCCCCCGCGCCAGAGACGCAGCATCCGGAGACGCTCGGCGACGCCGGGCTTCGTGCGGCGGGGACTGAGCAGCGGCAGGGAGCCCTGGTTGAACGTCTGGTGTTGGTTCCTAAACGGGACGTCTTCCTTCCAACTCCTTCTGCTGATTTACGTTGTTAAAAGGCTGAAGCCCGATACAAAATTAATTTTGCTTGTGTTTGTACTTAAATCCCTGTTTTGGTGCACCTGGCCCTGGGGAAGTCCCAGAGATCAGCGTGGCGAGCTCAGTGAGGGACTGGGTTTCCTCTGTCTGTCACAAACTGAAGATTAATCGTGATGACACGAACACCCAGACCAACACTGAGCTGCCGGGGAGCCACCTTCCATTTGCCTCATGCTCAGGGCCGCGTGCGGGTCTCTGGGCTGAGAGCGCCGGGCAGAGCTGCTTCCTGAAAACAGCCTCGCAAGCCCTGCCCGGTGTGGGGGACGCGACGGGCCAGCGCCTGGGGGCCCGGGATCAGAGGTTCTGGAGCCAGCGATGCACTAATGTGTGTCACGGCAACACCCAGTTGCCATCCGGCTGCCACTCCCTCACAGCCCTGTACTTTCATACCAAGAATTCGGTCTGTAAATGAAATGGCGCCGTGAAAGCAAACAGGGCTTCCTGATGAAACACCCACCCTGAGCTGCAGGGCCCCTGGAAGGTCTCGCCTTCCCTCCGGTGCTTCCTGCTCCGCCTGAGGCTTCTGGGCCCCTGGGCCCCCGGGCCCCGTGGAGTGCGGACAGCCTCATCGAGCGCAGGCAGGGCCACCAGGCCAGGAGGCCACGCGGCCCGGCAGCGCTGCGGGCCTCGAGAACCCTCCTTCCTACCCCTTCTGTCGACTTGTATTTTTAAAAGGTGAAAAAGGCCACCAGGGCTGGTGAGCAAAGGCGTACTTCGAGGTGTACAGCTGCACGAGGGGCTGGGGCCTGAGCGGAGCAGCCACTAGCCCTGGTGGCCTCAGCCTGAGCTTCTGGGTGGGAGCGCCCGCCCCGGCAGTGGACAGAGGACCGGGGACTGGAGGGCCGCGACGTCCCCGATGAGCGTTCTCTCCTGACTCCCCGAGGCACTGGGGGTATTTCACGGATAACGGGGCCCAGGTTCTGGCACACTAACGGAATTAATGAGAAAGGGGGGGACTCCGTGGGCAGCGACGCACAGCACCACGGGGCACAGCCTCCCGGGAAGTGCGGAGGTGACGGCGGCCAGGCCGGTTCGTCAACAACCCACGGGTGCCGGGTGTGGCGCCCACGACCGCCTGTTTATAACTTGCTCAGCCTCTCCCCTTCCCCCGGGGGTCGATTTGCACGTCTTGTCCTCCCAAAGAGAAGGGGCAATGGTGCCTGGAGCCACGCTGGCTAGGAGCTCGCTGGAGCAGCAATGGGGGGAGGCGGGGCCCCGACCACACCCCAAATCAGTGCTTCATGGAGGGCAGAGAAGGAGCCTCGGTGACTCGGCCAGGGGAGCCCCAGCAAGGCAAGGATGCTTCCGCACCAAAGGCTTCTGGAGGGAGCCGCACACACGGCTGGGGTGGACGAGGCCCCGGGAGGCCCCGAGCTGGCCGACCTGAAGAAACTCACCTGTAAAACGATGGGAAGCTGCTCAGGTGGGTTCCTGTTCTCCACGCCCATCGTGAGCCACACCTGGAAGGCGGTCAGCTGCTCAGCAAAGAAGGGGCTGTGCTGTGGGAGGAGCAGAGCGTTAGTCGGGCCCCGGCTCCTTCCGCAGCCCGGCCCTGCACTCCCGCCCGCCACCCACTCGGGGCAGCGTGGCAGAGGAGGTGAGAGGCAGGCCGTGTGGGCGCCAGACGCGGTGGATGGGGAAGCCGGTCCCGTGAACTGAGGTGGGAAGACTGTGGGGGAGGACGCGGGGAATTCAGCCTGGACGCCTGAGTTCAGGGCCTGCTGGATGCGCGTGAGGACGTGGGGGCCACTACACGAGCCCACGGTTCGGGGGCAGGTCTGGGCTGAGACACAGATCCAGCTGGAAGGTAGGTGAGAACGAGAAGTGACCCTGGGCCGAGCCCTGTGCCCCAGTGGTGAGGAGCCGAGGTGGCGGGGACCCAAGGACGAGACCTGTGGGGGAGGCGGGGGCAGGCGGGGAGCCGGGGTGGGGGTCTGCGGGGGGGATGCGGCCGGCAGTGTCCACGGCTGTGGAGAGTCAGGCAGGGCCAGGTCCAGAGCTGACCGCGAGACAGAGGTCCCAGAGACTGCTGAGGATGTAACGGGGTTCCCTGGGGGTGGGCAGACACACAGCCCGACTGGGCTCAAAACCCGAGAGAGGACGACTCGGAGACGCAAGAACAGTCTTTCGAAGGAACGTGGCTGCAGGAGGAGGCGGGGCGTGGAGGGGGCTGATGGGGAAGGAGGGTCGGTGGGGGGGTGGCCAGGGAAT